AAAGGGGGGAGAGAGAAGAAAGAGAAGAAAACTAATTTGTGTTTTTGTTTATATTTTTATAATATTTTTGGTCTTAATTATTGACTAAAATTATTAAATTATTTTTAGTTAAGATTCAAAATTTTGAAACTCTTTTTATTATCCCTTGAAGGCTGGGTTAGGACCTTGTACTGTTAATTGTAAGAAACTTTTTTTTTGAACTGTTATTTGTAAGAATCATTTTTTTAACTGTTATTTATAAGACTTGGTACTTCTTCAATGAAATGTTTTCTTTGACATTATTCTTGTCTCAATGTCGACATTTTGCGCACTATATTTTGAAGGAAAAAAAATACACCATTCTATACAAAAAGGCTATATAAGATCGCATGTCTCGAAAACTTTTTAATGAAAATATAGTTTTGTTATTCAGTACTTTGATCTAGTCGTATTTCTTTTCACTTGTAAAAGATACCTTTCACTTAAAATAAAGTTTTGTCACTCAGTATTACGGTCTTGTTGTACATGACAATTGAAGACCAAGCTACTACCTATCCCCAACCATGTACAACTGTGACCAAGATTAGCAAGGGGCCTATTAAGTTGTGCATCATTTCTGAATAATCATCTCTTTTTGAGTTTTGAGCGTGGCCTCTTTGTGGCGTTTTAATTGTGTCCTGCACTTATAATTCCAAATAAAGTTTTGAGCATGAAAGATTAGGACGAAAATCACACACATGCCAAATGGCCAAGGCAAACAACATTTAAAACGAATAAAAACTATGAAAACAAATATAGTGTTTTGAACTTATAATTCCAAGGACCCAACAAAGGTTGGCTCAGTTTGTAAGATCTCTGCTTTGTGTCTCGTCCCACCAAGGTTCGAATCTCATTGCCAGCAGTCCTCGTTGGTGTGCGATTGGTAAATTCCTATGTAAATCCATACTGGTAGCAGCTGACAGTTAAGTGCCACGCATAAGTCCTTCTAGCTTGAGATTGTGAGTATGTCCTGAAGCTGGTGATGAGTAACCAATCTCCCCTAAACTTTTGATGCGAATAATTCCAAGAACCAAGACTTTAAATTACTAATTTAAGTCAATGCATTCCCACTTGAATTGTGACAACTTTAATTCCTGAATAAAGATGTGACTATGTTTTGATTACCTATTGCATTACCTCTACTTGGTACTTGAAGGCCTACCTTTCTTTAGTGTTTGAGGGTGACAAAATCAGGTGCTTGCAGAAGGCCCACCTTTCAACGAAAGAGTTTTTTTTTTTTTCACAATTATTGGATATTTTATTTATACTTTTCTCCGTTCATTTTGAACTACACTTGCGCAGCTTTCCTTTTGCTCCAAAATCAAAATCCTAAAGAAACTCTTTCGTGCTTCAATTGTCTCTTGGTTGATTTAGTTGAATTAAGATGGAGGGTGACAGAATCAGGTGCTTGAAGAAACTCTTTCGTGCTTTAATTGTGGTGTTCACTTTACTGCAATGTGCTGTCAGCCCTTCCCTTTCCCTTGGATTCAAAAATATTTCTTCGGAAGGAGTGGTGAGGTGCTTTGAGAGGGAAAGAGAAGCACTCCTTGCTTTCAAGCACGGCCTCGTGGATCACTACAATGTCCTCTCTTCGTGGGGAAGAGAAGAACAAGCAAGATTGTTGCAAATGGGTCGGCGTCCATTGCAGCAACCGAACCAACCATGTTACTCAACTTCATCTTGGGTGGTATTCTTTGAATGAATCTTATTCACATCAACAGAAAGGAGACCCGCAGTACATCAGTTATTTTTTGCAAGGTAAGAAGATGAGTCCTAAATTGATTGAGTTGCAGCGTTTGAAATATTTGGACCTTTCTTCCATTAACTTCAATGGGACCCGACTTCCATATTTCATTGGTTCTCTTTCCAATTTAAGACACCTCGATCTCTCTTTTGCTTCTTTTGGTGGTCGATTTCCAAGTCAAGTTGGAAACCTTACCCACTTGCAATATCTTGATCTCAATGGGAATGACTTTAACAGTGTAGAAAATCTGAAATCATGGCTCCCTCTTCTTTCTTCTTTAACATATTTGGATCTGAGTAGCACCAATCTCAGTAATGCTCATGACTGGCTGGAAATAGTTAGTAAGCTCCCTAAACTTACAAACTTGACGTTACAGGAGGTGTGGTCTTCCTTCTCCTGTAATCCATTCCAGTACTCTTTTTAACATAAATTCTTCAAAATCTCTTGCTCATGTTGACCTCTCTTACAACCAATGCACTTCTCCTTCAATATATTTATGGTTGTCAAACTACAATGCTAGCCTTGTCTTTCTTGGCCTCGATAACAGTAGTTTAACTGGTTTAATTCCCAGTGTCATTGAAAACTTGACCTCTCTTGTCTATCTATCTCTCTCTGATAACAAATTTGACGTGGTGAATCCGCATTCTTTTTCCAGCTTATGCAGTTTGCAATCACTGGTCCTTATCAATAATAGCCTGAGTGGACAATTTTCCGAGTTTGTTCAAATGTTGTCTACATGTGCTCAAAACTCATTAGAGTCTCTGTACCTCTCTGACAATCATCTTTCTGGATCAATTCCTAATCTTACAAACTTTTCATCGTTGAAAAGTTTATCTCTCTATGGAAATCAATTGAATGGAACAATACCTGAAAGCATTGGGCAACTGTCTAATCTGGAGTATATGCAATTGCGTATGAATGATCTGGAAGGTGTGGTGTCGGAAACCCATTTCTCTCAACTCTCCAGATTACAGCTTTTGGATTTGTCCTCTAACTCGCTAGTTTTAAGCTTCAATTCTAATTGGGTTCCTTCATTTAAATTGAAGTATATATATTTGGGGTCTTGCAAAATGGGTCCGTATTTTCCAAAATGGCTTCAAACTCAGAATGAGTATTTACGGCTCGATATTTCTAATGCTGGAATTGTGGATATCCTTCCAAGCTGGTTTTGGGGTACGACTCGTTACGCGAAATTTATCAGTCTTTCCAATAACCAAAATTGGAGAAATGTTTGCAAGTTCGACAATGAATTTTACATATTACCCTGAAATACATTTGAGTTCGAACCAAATCGAAGGTCCAATTCCCTCAACTCTATCCCATGCCATCTTTGGATCTCTCTAATAACAACATTTCAGGGTCAATTTCTATCTTGTGCGAAGCATACGAGAGTTTAATGTTTCTTAATCTCTCAAACAACAATCTCTCCGGAGAGCTTCCACAATGCTGGACACATTTTGACAATCTAGTCATGCTTGATTTGAGTTACAATGCTTTTTCTGGCAAAATTCCATCCACGGTGGGCTCACTATATCGCATGGAAACATTGAAATTAAGAAGCAACAGATTTGTTGGCGAGTTTCCTTCATCCTTCAATAATTGCACCAGTTTAGAAGTTCTTGATGTTGGATACAATCAATTATCAGGACCCATACCAAAATGGTTAGGGGTTAGCCTTCAGAAATTGGTTGTCCTGATGCTTTCCTCTAATAACTTCAACGGAAGCATGCCATCTGAACTATGCCGTCTAACAAACATTCAAAACTTGGATGTGTCTGCGAATAACATCTCTGGAACAATACCAAAATGCCTCAGCAATTTTACTGTTTTGGCACAGAAGGGAAACTCTTCTCCGACCCTTGGACATTTGTACATAAGAGATGATACTTCCTATGGGGTTAGTTATATGGATGATGCAACATTTATATGGAAGGGAAGAATGCACTCGTACAAAAACACTTTGGGACTTGTGAAGAGAATTGATTTCTCGAGCAATAGATTAACGGGGGAGATTCCAAGTGAAATCACGGATCTTGTTGGGTTAGTTTCTTTAAACCTGTCGAGAAACGGATTGACAGGTGAGTTACCTGCAAAGATTGGAAAGTTGCAATCATTGGATGCCCTTGATTTTTCAAGAAACCAGATAGATGGCAAAATTCCAACAAGCCTTGCTCAGATATATGGTCTTAGTGTCTTGGACTTGTCATACAACAACTTTATTGGCAAAATTCCAACTGGCACTCAGCTCCAAAGTTTTGATCCCTCTGATTATGGTGGAAATCCTCAGCTGTGCGGACCTCCACTTCCAAAGATGTGTGGTGATCAACAGGAAACTCCGATCTCAAGCAACAAAGAAGAAAATGATGAGCCTATAACATGGGGATTTTACATCAACATGGTGCTTGGCTTTATTGTTGGATTTTTGGGAGTTTGTGGCAGTCTGATTTTTGTGAGGCCATGGAGATACTCGTACTTCAGGTTCTTGAATGTCTTGAATGATTGGTTTTATGCGAGGGTGATTTCAATCAAGCAGCACTTCAATTAAGCAATGGTATGTAAATGTGATTTTATTTGTCTTTCTTAAATTAAGCAATATGCATGCATCTATTTGTAAAGTCATTCGGATTAATTTCAATCTTCTTCAAAACTTAACTACATGTGCTTGTTTATTTTAATCTACAGCATCTTCTGAGACAGTGTAGACGGCTTCACTTCACTGAAAGAGCTTCCACGGGCCATTATCTGTACAAGTTTTCAAAGTATTGAGTTGTCATAATAAAGAACTTTACTACTAAATCTACTTGACAGATGATTTGTTAGCGTTAATTGTTTGCGAGAAGTTTATGTTTATGTTTACGTTATCAAGACCTTTCTGCAGTATATGTTTTGATTCATGATATGAACTAAAGATATTCAGTTAATTCTGGACTACATGTGATTGTTTTGTTCGTCGTAAATTTTAGTTCAATGGATTGGTTGCAGTCTTGTGCATATGTCTATCAATGATCAGACGACGTTTAACAAATTAATTATTATTATTTTTCATCAGAAATGATACACCAGGAATCCTATATGCTTTCTGCACACAAATTACAAGCTTATGAATGACATCCTCCCTACCAGTGTTTTTTTACAACTTTCTATTTTTTCTTTCTATTTTGTCAAAGTAATTCATATACTAGAATCATTTGACGCACGGGAAATCAAACCAAATAAACAATTCAAATACAAGATATACTGCTGGAAAATGACAAAATCTAATACCGTGGAAATGATGAAGCTTTGGCTCTAGTGGTTTTAAACCTTATGATCGATCGACGGCTAGATAAGCTGAGAGCCAAACCGAGAGAAGTGGCAAGCTAGGTACCTGGTCGAGCGGCCTAGAGTTTCACTTCTATCCAGCTGCTTTGCTCATTTTGGATTCAAGCATAGTACCATTCCAAGGGCCGAAAGGGCAACAGCCTGAAGATAACATGCAATGTGCCAAACTGGCGAAACTACTCGTGCTTGCATTGCATCTTCTATAGCTTCCTGAGGCTTGTCACTCATGAGATAAGACAAACTACGCCGGTCAAAAATTGTTGGAGAAACCATTGTTCCAACTCCAATGAACCTGCAAGCGAAATAGAACTGTTAGCAACGATAACAAATGCAGAGAAAGCAGCAGTTAAAAAGGATTTACTAATTTTTCTTTTCTTTCAGTTTTGTTCTTTTTAGTAGAGTTACTAGGTTCAGGTACTCTAAGGTACCTTAAACTACCAATTTTCGCAACATACGTCCGTACCTTGACTGATTAAAAATACCTTAAACTACCAATTTCATTTCTTCAATTCTTCCTATCATGAATCAGAAGATAAAATGTAACGATAGTGTTCTGACCGGAAATCTAACGCCAAACAAAAATTCCGTACGAAGTTGTGTTTGGTAATTTATTTTAACAGGTCAGACAAAGAACATCCTATTGAAGGCCAAATTTGGATATCGGTATGAACATGAAAGCAACTCTTATCAAACCTCTACTCAGAATTTCCCACAAGTATCATAATAAGAACCTAACCTGTGAATAACACTCAATTGTGGTTCTGATGTCCTAGTGCTTAAAAGCAGAATCCCCCCCTATTTTCTTTGAATCTTATGATTCCTGCATTTGGTCAGTCCACATTTGAACGAGCGCTGCAGTGGAACGTAACTATTGAGAAGGCTAAATATATATATATATATATATATATATACACACAAAACACAACTTATTAGCTAGTTCTCCATTAATTAAACAAAATAAAGACCCTCATTTGTCATTCCATCGTCTTTATAGCCGATATTCTCTAGGATCTCATGTATAGCGGTCATATCCCTTCTTGAGCAGGCATCACCGACTTGTGGAAGAGAAGACCAGAAGGTACCATGTGGGATACCCATCAAAACAAAAGAAGGAACTTGCAGAGGTAAGCAAAAAGAAATAAAGGAGGTCCAGGATACAGCCACCAGCATCATGTTAAGCATCTATATATGATTAAACTACAATATCTATATATGATTAAACTACCACAATGGTGTAGATCTGAGTGCTTCTAATTGGCACCCAACAGGTATAGTATCACTGAAAACCCTTGTAGTTAACTACCCTCAAATTTGGGGCATAAGAGATTGATATTTTATAGAGTATCATTCACCATGAAAGACACTAAACAAAGGCGTAGCTCTCCCAAGTCCTCACTAATAACAAATTAGAGTCATGTCCTTTTCTCAAGTTTTCAAATATTTCTGCTTGGTACAAGGTTCAGTATGAATCGGTTGATAGTTAGATACGAGGTTACACAAATAGCTCAGATTGAGTCCAGTGAAAAGAAGATAACATATGAATATATTGCTTACAAGACTGCCCCAAAATATAGATCTAGAAACAATTGTGTGAAGATTTTAAACAGTTAAACTATGCTCCCCGGGTAAAGTTGGGAATATAATGCTTAATTAGAGAAACAGAGGAGAGAACTAACCTCAGTCTCTTTCTGAAGAGGAATCAAAGAAGCAACTAATGACTTTAGATTTGGTCGCTCTCAGGGTTCAGATTGTAAACTTTGTGAAGCCAACCGTGCCAACTTGGTACCATCATCATTAGAAAGCTGTCCTTCCAAGCAAGAATCTGTCAGCATCTGAATGGCCAAAAGGGCAGCACCCTGAAGATAAGATACAATGTGCCAAACTGGGGAAACTACTTGTGCTTGCATTGCATCGTTGAGAGGTTCCTGAGGCTTGTCACTCATGAGATAAGATAAACTACGATGGGCAAAAATTGTTGGAGAAACCATTGTTTCAGCATCAATGAACTGCAAGCGAAAGAAAACTGTAAGCGACGATAACAAATGCAGATAAAACAGCAATCAAGGATTTACCAAGTTTTTTTTTCTTTTCAGTTTTGTTCTTGTTATTGGTCATGCAAGTAGAGTTACTAGGTTCAGGTACTTTAAGGTACCTTAAACTACCAATTTTCGCAAAATACGTCTTTCCTAACTGATTAAAAATGCTCCTCTCTACATTCAGGGAAGAAAAAAGAAAGTGCTCAACAATCTACACAGTATAGCAGTCCAAGAGCATTCCTCAATCACATTTTCTGCAGCTTTTTACAATCGCAACCTTGGCTTCGTCGTAAACAATCAAATACCAAAACATTTGTAATTACAGAGTGGTAACTACACAAGCAGAGAAAACTAACCAAAACCTCACTCGCATTAGCATTTTGCTAAAAAGACATGAACAAAATCGTTGAAAAGCGAAAGTAAAGTATACCAAACTAGTCCAGTTACACAACCCACATTCATTCTACAGCTAACAATTGTAAATCGAACACGAAATGGAAAGACCCCAAAATTTGTGAGCTCGAATTGCAGATCTGAGAAATTAAATTGTGAACCAAGAGATTAAGTTTTGATTTTCTCGCTGCCCTTTTTGTAACAAGATCAAAGTTTGATTTCTGATGAAGATGAAATTGTGGGAAGAAACAGGAACTTACAGGATCGAGAGCGTTGGGCTCAGGGCCGTAATCAGCAGTAAAGAGGAAGCAAGCAGCAATGCAGCGGCCACCATGGTCGTCCTCCTCACCAGCCTTTCGGTTTTTTAGGGTTTTTCATTGTTGGGAGGGGAAGAAAGTAGAAGATGGCAAATTTACCAGATTCAAACTTTGAGAAATCTAAACTATCTATTAATAAAATATTATTTATAACAAAAAAAAATTAATAAAATTACTACCATATCTTTTAATACAAAACTGAAAAAAAAAACATTAGAAAAAAAACAATGTGAGCGTTAAAGTAATTTTGTACAAACAAAGTTTTACCTTTTTTTTTAAAATCTTACAGTTATGTTACTTTATCAATACCCGGTAAACTCACTCTCGCTCGTTCTCTCTTTTTCCTCTCTTAAAAATACTAAAAACAAATAGTTAAAAATATATATAAAGTATATTTCTCAGGGCTTTTGCTAGTATAATATAGACCGTTGGAGCTACAAACAGGGGGTCCATCTAAAGTTATAATAATTGTATCCAACGGTCTCTATTAGTGGGTCATGAAGATCCCCACCATTTGCTCAGGAGGGGATCCAATTCCTATGAAATTAACCCACTCAGTCAGGATGTCATTGAATTAGAAAATTAATCAGTGTCGTCAATTTATGTTAGTATGCCTATGTGGCACACATGTGGACCCAATATGTTCAATAGTCAGGTGCCACATGGATTATAAAAAAAAAAGAACTTTAACAAAAAACACTTGGTACTGTTCACTTTAACGAAAAACCACATTTTTACACTAAAAAGTCAATCCTGGTACTATTTATTTTACCCTTTATTTTATCCTTATCATTAAAACTCAAAGTTTTCAAGCCCTTTTCATTAGTTTTCTTATAAAAAAAATGGAGCGAAGGAGAGCTTGGGGCGGGGTAGCCGGTCGAAATGGAGGCGAGTCGATGTGGATTTGGGAATCACGTTTTGGTGAGAGGTGGAGGTTGGGGGATGAGGGATGCGGCTGATGGGGGCGGGGTAGGAGAGGAAGATGCGGCTGGGGTTTCTCCATTTTCTGGGCTGAAGGTTGGTATCCAAGGAGTCATGGAACATGATGATGATGATGATTCGTCCTTTTTTTGGGAGGAATGAGGATGACGATGAGTTTTTCTTTCTTTTTCTTTTTTTTTTTTACTTTATTTATTTATTTATTTTTGTTTTGAAATATGTTTAAATTTGTAAACAATTTTTGGCAAATTACACGTGGGTCATGTTATATGTGGTGGGCTCACATGTGTGCCACATAAACATCTTAACAGAAATTTTAACGAAATCTAAACATAATGACAATATTGATTTGTGACACTAATATTTAGAGATGGCATTAATTGATTTTTTTAATTCAAAAACCATTTCGATTGGACCATTTGTAATAAAAATCCTTATCAATTTTGTCTCTCTAACATTGTACTATTATATAAGTTCAAGCATCTATCCTTCTGTGCAATTTAAAAGTTAAAACTGTTAGACCATAGAGGTTAGCTTAGGATTATGCCAAATGTTATGTATTAGATGTGTGCCATGTGACACGTGTATTGTAACAATTCTGAAGTTAATACAGTGAAATATTGAAAAGTTGTTTTCCCTCTCTAAATCTCTGTAAGTTTTGTTAACATGGTATCTTCGCCGATGATAGAGATTTTTATCATCTGCAAAAGTAGGGATAAAAATACTTGCAAGAGTATAAGGTAGTCGTAGTATAGCAGCCCAAGTAAAATCGTTTTCCGAAATGATTGAATGAATAATTTGTATTTAAACTAATTCTTAGCTAATTATTTGAAAACAAAGACCGGAAAATGTTGATTTTATGACCTAAAATATTAAAAACGAATTTAATTAAAAACAATTAAAGAAATTGGCAAAGTAAAGAAACAAAAGAAAATAGTTTTGAAAACCAAATTATAAAAGGGATAGGGTTCCGCCGTCCCCTTAATAATCATATGTAGATTTATCAATTACTTATGAATTACCCATGCAACTTTGAAGATTAAGTTTTCCTTGTGCATATTTTACTTGTGACATTCAAGCTAGAACCTATATCAAACATGCAATATGTCTGTGCCATTCAGATCAAATATAAATATGCATGACTCATTATGCTTTGTGAAAACTCTTTGAAAAATCATGCAACCCCTAAGACGTGGCATTCGCCCTAGGTAAACTTACAACTATTAATCACAAAATGCAATACTCAATCCTCTGGTGGCATTCCGACCGAATTGCATCCAATTACTTATCACATCTTAATGGTCGCGAATCATTAAGATACAAAGACAGTTTAAAACACAGTGATTAATAATTCAAAGTATGCATGTATAATATCATAAGCAATTAAATAAAAACTACATATTCATGCTAAGACTTGGCATCACCTTAGCAAACGAAAATTAGTTATTAACAATCATAAAATAAAATAGTATTAAAAACATGGATAGATAACACCTTGAAAATAAACTTCAAAAACTCTCTAGAGTAGTGTGTGCGTTTCCCTCTCCAATGTTGTGTCTCTCCCAATGGCTAAAAAGCCTTATTTATACTACTCCTAATTAAAACCCTCAAAGGAAAATGTTTTCTAAAAACTAGGAAATAAAATAATAAAAGGATAACTAAAAATTACATTCCTATTATGACAAGGAAATTTGTCTATCAAAAAAGAAGCCACGTTTCTGGACCTTCAGGGCTCCAAAACGAGTCAAATTAAAGATCAGGACCTCCTCTTCAAGTTCCAAGAACAACCCTCCAAAATCCAGCATCTTCGAGCCCAAAACTTGCAAACAAGCTCTGTAGCCCAATCTGCCAGCATTGCGTGCTGGCCATAAATTAATTCGCCACGATCAGATGCTTTGGGATTTATGAAATTTTGACACAACCTTCTTGACTGACTCACGAACCCACTCCAATTGGAATCACTCAAAAATTCTACCGTTTGATTACTTTATGCTCCAAACAATAATATGAACTCATTAGCCGACGACAGGTAACTCTTATCGATTGACGACGATCCTTGTGCTTCCGCTAGCATTTCTCGTTGGTGTCTCTATCGCTCGTTGCTGTTGTTCACTCGTTAAAGCTAACGTCAGTGCACAAAGTCGGTAACCCTTAATTTCTTTGGGGTTTTCTGTAAGTCAGTGATTCATTCTTTGATTCTTGCTTTCTTTGGTGAAGATCGTGTTGCTATTTGACGGATTTGTGGTGTATTACTGTTGATTCTTGATTTGTTCATCTTCGATTGTCGATGTGTTGATTCTTGCAAAGTTGATGATTTTGTCTGTTGCTAGAATTTCTAGTTGATTTGGTGTGTTCATATAAAAATGGTTATTGTTGCTCAGTTAGCTCTTACTCAATCATCGATCTCTTCGTTGATTCCCAGTGTTGGAAACACTATGACTGTAAAACTTGATGATTCAACATTATTACTGTAAAACTTGATGATTCCAATTATGTTACATGGAATTTTCAAATGGAACTCTTGTTAGATGGATACGGAATTCTTGGGTTTGTTACTGGTTCCATACCTTGTCCAAACAAAATATGTAGAGTCTGATTCTGCAGATGAGACTGTTGAAAATCTACCAGTGATTGCTGATGCTTTTAAGGTTTGGAAGATTCATGACAAAGCTTTAATGACTCTTATCACTAACACATTATCAACTGATGCTCTATCCTCTCTGTTATTGGTTGTCAAACTTCTAGAGAAATGTGGACTAATCTCAAAGAAAGATTCTCTAATATGACAAGAACCAGTATTGTTCAAATGAAAATTGATTTACAGAATATCAAAAAGGGACAAGAATCTATTGATTTATATCTGCAACGGATTAAACATTGTAGAGACCAACTTCCTGCTGTGGGTGTGTTGTCTTATGAATTGTTGGGCATCCCTACACAATTTATACCGAGAACAAAAGTGTGTGCAATGTGCATGCTCTGTTGTCAGCCTAATGTTCGATTGTTTATACTATTTTTGCAACAAGGGCGGTGTCAACCCACTTCCACAATGTAATGATGATACGCAGAGTTGAGAGATCAACAGGTTTCAAGGGAATAAAAAACACTTTTTTCCCTGTTGCAGGTATAGCAGCTCCTGCCTCTCACGAACCCCTTTTTCTTTTTCTTCTTTTATTGGTTAATAACTAACTTTATTGCCTAATGCATTAACGCTGGTGAAAATATGGGTGTTTTATGACAGATTAAACTGCTAGGCCATAATTATCATCTTAACTTACATAAAATGGGGTGTATATTGAGTTAAAATTTACATAAAATCGAGTATATATTTAAGTTACATGAAATTAGATAGAATTCTGTATAATTATCTCTCTTGTCACGTAAAAATAGATGTATGAAGTATACATTCGGTTTTATTTACGTTTCGCAATTCATTCAAATAAAATGGATGACAAAATAAGTTATGCTTTGGATGGTAATGGAATATCACAAAGTGTGTCACATGAAACAAGCACTGGTAAAGGCTAGCTAGACACGAAATACTGTGAACTTTTGATCTTTGGTTTTGGAGGTAGGGCGGGAGTGATAACGCTTTTGCCTAATGGGATTGGGTGAAAACTCGCCAAGGCGAGCCTTGGAGGCTGAGGCACGCAAAATCTGAATTGCTTTTTCTGCATTCCTAATTTCCTCCTGTTCATATGTACCAAATATGCACAGTCTTTACTTACCTGGGCAAGCAATGGCTAAGATCAAACCCGGAAGACCCGCACCGCTCCCCACATCTACAAGGCGGAGGTTTTCGGACGAAGGGCTACAGTGATCTTTTCATGATTTTCTGCAATTCCCACTTTAATAGTGGAAACTTTAATGCTCGTACAAAGATATGCCTATGTTTTGGTCACCAATTGTATTGCCTCTTATAGCTACTTGTAGCCCCACTTTTGATTGTGCGTGTTTGAGATGAAATGACAAATGCATTGGAGAAGGAGAACCATTGGTTATTTTATTGTATAAAGATTTCCACAAGTATTGAATAGTCTATTTTCAATCTTGTCCATTTATTCTTTACTATTCATCATTACGTAGAAGTTGGGGAAACAAAGTATGAACAAGTGGGAAACAGAAGGTGAGAAATAAAGCATCAACAAGTGCGAAACAAAGGCCTTAAATCAAGGAGAAGGTGGGAAATAAAGTATCAACTAGTGCCTTAAATTAAGGAGGTGGGAAATAAAGTATCAACTAGTGCCTTAAATTAAGTATCAACTAGTGTCTTTTAATTTTTTAATATTTTTCTATCAAATTATAATGGTGTGTAGAAAATATTAAAAAATTAAAAAAGTGAGAAAAGCAGTAATTTGGGTTGTTTGAATATAATCTTTCTTGTATAAATATTTTTCACAATTATTGGATATATTTTATTTATACTTTTCTCCGTTCATTTTGAACTACACTTGCGCAGCTTTCCTTTTGCTCCAAAATCAAAATCCTAAAGAAACTCTTTCGTGCTTCAATTGTCTCTTGGTTGATTTAGTTGAATTAAGATGGAGGGTGACAGAATCAGGTGCTTGAAGAAACTCTTTCGTGCTTTAATTGTGGTGTTCACTTTACTGCAATGTGCTGTCAACCCTTCCCTTTCCCTTGGATTCAAAAATATTTCTTCGGAAGGAGTGGTGAGGTGCTTTGAGAGGGAAAGAGAAGCACTCCTTGCTTTCAAGCACGGCCTCGTGGATCCCTACAATCTCCTCTCTTCGTGGGGAAGAGAAGAACACAAGCAAGATTGTTGCAAATGGGTCGGCGTCCACTGCAGCAACCGAACCAACCATGTTACTCAACTTCATCTTGGGTGGTATCCCTTGAGTGTATCTTACTCACATCAACAGAAAGGAGACCCGCAGTTCATCAATTATTTTTTGCAAGGTAAGAAGATGAGTCCTAAATTGATTGAGTTGCAGCGTTTGAAATATTTGGACCTCTCATGGATAAACTTCAATGGGACCCGACTTCCATATTTCATTGGTTCTCTTTTTAATTTAAGACACCTCGATCTCTCTTCTGCTTCTTTTGGTGGTCGATTTCCAAGTCAAGTTGGAAACCTTACCCACTTGCAATATCTTGATCTCAGTTGGAATGACTTTAACAGTGTAGAAAATCTGAAATCATGGCTCCCTCTTCTTTCTTTCTTTAACACATATTTGGATCTGAGTAGCACCAATCTCAATAATGCTCATGACTGGCTGGAAATAGTTAGTAAGCTCCCTAAACTTACAAACTTGACGTTACAGGGGTGTGGCCTTCCTTCTCCTGTAATCCATTCCAGTACTCTTTTTAACATAAATTCTTCAAAATCTCTTGCTTCTGTTGACCTCTCTGACAACCAATGCACTTCTCCTTCAATATATTTATGGTTGTCAAACTACAATGCTAGCCTTGTCTTTCTTGGCCTCGATAACAGTAGTTTAACTGGTTTAATTCCCAGTGTCATTGAAAACTTGACCTCTCTTGTCTATCTATCTCTCTCTGATAACAAATTTGACGCGGTGAATCCGCATTCTTTTTCCAGCTTAATCACTGGACCTTGGCAATAATAGTCTGAGTGGACAGTTTTCCGAGTTTGTTCAAATGTTGTCTACATGTGTTCAAAACTCATTAGAGTCTCTGTACCTCTATGACAATCATCTTTCTGGATCAATTCCTAATCTTACAAACTTTTTCATCGTTGAAAGGATTATCTCTCTATAGAAATCAATTGAGTGGAACAATACCTGAAAGTATTGGGCAACTGTCTAATCTGGAGTATATGGACTTAGGTACGAATGATCTGGAAGGTGTGGTTTCGGAAACCCATTTCTCTCAACTCTCCAGATTACAGGTTTTGGATTTGTCCTCTAACTCGCTAGTTTTAAGCTTCAATTCTAATTGGGTTCCTCCATTTAAATTGATGTCTATAGCTTTGGGGTCTTGCAAAATGGGTCCGTATTTTCCAAAATGGCTTCAAACTCAGAATGAGTATTCATTCCTCGATATTTCTGATGCTGGAATTGTGGATATCCTTCCAAGCTGGTTTTGGGGTACGACTCGTTACGCGAGATTTATCGTTCTTTCCAATAACCAAAATTGGAGAAATGTTTGCAAGTTCGACAATGAATTTTACATATTACCCTCAAATATATTTGAGTTCGAACCAAATCGAAGGTCCAATTCCCTCAACTCTATCGCATGCGTCATATTTGGATCTCTCTGATAACAACATTTCAGGGTCAATTTCTATCTTGTGTGAAGCATACGAGAGTTTAATGTTTCTTAATCTCTCAAACAACAATCTCTCCGGAGAGCTTCCGCAATGCTGGACACATTTTGACCATCTAGTCATGCTTGATTTGAGTTACAATGCTTTTTCCGGCAAAATTCCATCCACGGTGGGCTCACTATATCGCATGGAAACATTAAAATTAAGAAGCAACAGATTTGTTGGCGAGTTTCCTTCATCCTTCAAGAATTGCACCAGTTTAAAAAAAGTTCTTGATGTTGGATACAATCAATTATCAGGACCCATTCCAAAATGGTTAGGGGTTAGCCTTCAGAAATTGGTTGTCCTGATGCTTTCCTCTAATAACTTCAACGGAAGCATGCCATCTGAACTATGTTGTCTAACAAACATTCAAAACTTGGATGTGTCTGCGAATAACATCTCTGGAACAATACCAAAATGCCTCAGCAATTTTACTGTTTTGGCACAGAAGGGAAACTCATCTCCGACCCTTCGACATTTGTACACAAGAGATGATACTATCTATACGCTTAATTATATGGATGATGCAACATTTATATGGAAGGGAAGAATGTACTCGTACAAAAACACTTTGGGACTTGTGAAGAGAATTGATTTCTCGAGTAATAGATTAACGGGGGAGATTCCAAGTGAAATCACGGATCTTGTTGGTTTAGTTTCTTTAAACCTGTCGAGAAACGGATTGACAGGTGAGTTACCTGCAAAGATTGGAAAGTTGCAATCATTGGATGCCCTTGATTTGTCAAGAAACCAGATAGATGGCAGAATTCCAACAAGCCTTGCTCAGATATACGGTCTTAGTGTCTTAGACTTGTCATACAACAACTTTATTGGCAAAATTCCAACTGGCACTCAGCTCCAAAGTTTTGATCCCTCTGATTATGCTGGAAATCCTCAGCTGTGCGGACCTCCACTTCCAAAGATGTGTGGTGATCAACACGAAACTCCGATCTCGAGCAACGAAGAAGAAAAGGATGAGCCTATAACATGGGGATTTTACGTCAGCATGGCGCTTGGCTTTGTTGTTGGATTTTGGGGAGTTTGTGGCAGTCTGATTTTTGTGAGGCCATGGAGATACTCGTACTTCAGGTTCTTGAATGTCTAGAATGATTGGTTTTATGTGAGGGTGATTTCAATCAAGCAGCACTTCAGTTAAGCAATGGTATGTAAATGTGATTTTATTTGTCTTTCTTAAATTAAGCAATATGCATGCATCTATTCGTAAAGTCATTCGGATTAATTTCACTGTCTTCTTCAAACTTAACTACATGTGCTTGTTTATTTTAATCTACAGCATCTTCTGAGACAGTGTAGACGGCTTCACTTCACTGAAAGAGCTTCCACGGACCATTATCTGTACAAGTTTTCAAAGTATTGAGTTGTCATAATAAAGAACTTTACTACTAAATCTCATTGACAGATGATTTGTTAGTGTTAATTGTTTGTAAGAAGTTTATGTTTGTGTTTACGTTATCAAGACCTTTCTGCAGTATATGTTTTGATTCATGATATAAACTAAAGATATTCAGTTAATTCAGGACTGCATATGATTGTTTTGTTCATCGTAAATTTTAGTTCAATGGATTGGTTGCAGTCTTGTGCATATGTCTATCAATGATCAGACGACGTTTAACAAACTAATTACTATTATTTTTCATTAGAAATGATACACCAGGAATCCTATATGCTTTCTGCACACAAATTACAAGCTTATGAATGACATCCTCCCTACCAGTGTTTTTTTTTACAACTTTCTATTTTTTCTTTCTATTTTGTCAAAGTAATTCATATACTCGAATCATTTGACGCACGGGAAATCAAATCAAATAAACAATTCAAATACAATATATGCTGCTGGAAAATGACAAAATCTAATACCGTGGAAATGATGAAGCTTTGGCTCTAGTGGTTTTAAACCTTATGATCGATCGACGGCTATATAAGCTGAGAGCCAGACCGAGAGAAGTGGCAAGCTAGGCACCTGGTCGAGCGGCCTAGAGTTTCACTTCTATCCAGCTGCTTTGCTCATTTTGGATTCAAGCATAGTACCCTCCTTAAGTCCTGCTTCAATTTCACCATCCATTCCAAGGGCCGAAAGGGCAACAGCTTGAAGATAACATGCAATGTGCCAAACTGGGGAAACTACTTGTGCTTGCATTGCATCTTTTATAGCTTCCTGGGGCTTGTCACTCATGAGATAAGACAAACTACGCCGGTCAAAAATTGTTAGAGAAACCATTGTTCCAACTCCAATGAACTGCAAGCGAAATAGAACTGCTAGCAACGATAACAAATGCGGAGAAAGCAGGGACACACAAAAGAAGTACTTTGATCCTATTAGACGAGGGAGAGTGAAGAAGTTAGGACAGAATGGTAGAGTTCAAGAGAGCAAAATGCGTTTAGGAACGTGGAATATAGGAACCTTAACGGGAAAATCTATGGAAGTAGTGGAAGTTATGGTGAGGAGAAGGATAAATATTATGTGCCTACAAGAAACTAAGTGGGTTGGTCGTAAGGCAAAGGATCTAGAAAACTCAGGGTTTAAACTTTGGTATTCGGGCACAAATAGAACGAGAAACGGTGTTGGCATCATCGTGGACAAGACCTTGACACAAGATGTTGTAGATGTCAAGAGGGTAGGAGATAGAATCATGGCAATCAAGATTGTAATTGGACAAGAACTTATCAATGTGATTAGTGCGTACGCACCTCAAGTAGGGTTGGATACGAGTTCGAAGGAGAAATTTTGGGAAGACCTTGGAGACTTGGTGCCTATCTACAAGAATAAGGGCGACGTACAAAATTTCATGAACTATAAGGGTATTAAGCTAATGAGTCATACAATGAAGCTCTGGGAGAGAGTCATTGAGCATAGATTGAGGCAAGAGACACGGGTTTCAGACAACCAATTCGGGTTCATGCCAGGACACTCAACCATGGAGGCAATCTATCTCTTACGAAGATTGATGGAAAGATATAGAGATGGGAAAAATGATTTACACATGGTCTTTATAGATTTGGAAAAAGCGTATGATAGGGTCCCAAGAGACATTCTTTGGAGGATTTTAGAGAAGAAAGGAGTACGAGTAGCATATATCCAAGCTATAAAAGATATGTATGAAGGAGCAAAGACTGCCGTAAGAACTCATGAAGGACAAACCGAAAGCTTTCCCATAACTGTAGGATTACATCAAGGCTCGTCCTTAAGTCCTTACCTTTTTGCGTTGGTAATGGATGAGTTAACAGGACATATTCAAGATGATATTCCTTGGTGTATGCTTTTCGCATACGATATAGTGTTGATAAATGAAACTCAGGAAGGGGTAAATGCAAAGCTTAACCTTTGGAGAGAAGTGTTGGAATCTAAAGGTCTTCGCCTAAGCCGATCAAAGACAGAATATATGGAGTGCAAGTTCAGTGCGAATGGAGGCCAAAACGAGTTAGGGTGAGGATCGGAGATCAAGAAATACCAAAGAGCGACCGTTTTCGTTACCTAGGATCTATCTTGCAAAAGAACGGAGAATTAGATAGAGATCTCAACCATAGAATACAAGCTGGATGGATGAAGTGGAGAAGTGCATCCGGAGTGTTGTGTGACCGCCGTATGCCATTGAAGCTCAAGGGAAAATTTTATAGGACGGCAATAAGGCCGGCGATGCTGTATGGCATAAAATGTTGGGCGGTGAAGTATCAACACGTACACAAAATGGGTGTAGCGGAGATGAGGATGCTTCGTTGGATGTGTGGGCACATGAGAAAGGATAAGATTAGAAATGAGGATATCCGGGGTAAAGTAGGAGTAGCCGAAATTGAAGGAAAGATGAGAGAAAATCGGTTACGGTGGTTTGGACATGTGCAAAGAAGGCCTACTGACGCCCCAATTAAAAGATGCGACTATGGGACAGAGGTTCAGGGCCGAAGGGGTAGAGGAAGACCTTGGAAAACTTTGGAAGAGACCCTAAGAAAAGACTTAGAGTACTTGGATCTAACGAAGGACATGACACAGGACCGAGCACAATGGCGTTCTAAGATTCATATAGCCGATCCCACTCAGTGACTTGGATTTTCCAAGTCTCAAACCGAGAAGTTTTCCTCACTCGGGAAATTAAGGGAACACTACCTCAACCTACATGCTTCACTCACAAAACTTCAACATACAAGCTTCAACAAAAGAAAATTCAAAGAACTTAGCGAAGAAGACTTTGGTGTATTTAACACAATATGTTGAAATGAAGGAAAGCTTATTTATTGATATCCCCGATAAGCTACAAATATGTACATATACACGAGTCAAAATAAACAAACAAGAGGGAGCCTTCACAAAGGTTGCTTAGGAAAAGTCTCAGCAGTCGGTAGAGCCTCAGAAAGAGAAGGCACCGGAGGGGGATCATTCGGAGCCTCAGTACCGGACAGAACCTTAGAAGGAGGAGGCATCAGAGGTTGGTCATTTGGAGCTTCATTACGCGGTACAGCCCCAGAAGACGAAGGCAATAAATGCCTTTGGAACAAACCCACAAATCTCTGATGATCAAGTAAAACCTGACCATCAGATTCCTTCATCTGGTCAAGCTTCCTCTTTATGTTTGTAGCATAGTCATGGGCGAGCCGGTGCAACTGTTTATTCTCATGCTTGAGCCCTCTAATCTCCTGTTTGAGACTCATCACTTCAGCCGCCAATGATTCAACTTGACGGGTTCGAGCAAATAGGCGTTGGGCCATATTAGACACAGAACCTGCACACTGAACACTGAGAGCCAGAGAATCCTTAACAGCTAACTCATCAGACCGTTTGGAAAGTAGTCTGTTATCTTTGGGAGTGAGAAGGTTCCTGGCCACCACCGCAGCGGTCATATCATTCTTCATCACGGAATCCCCAACGGTAAGAGGACCAGTAGGGGAGACGAAGGATGGGCGCCATATGTTGTCTGGAGAAGGCGGGGCTGCCTCTTCAACAAGGTTCAAGTCAAAACGACGGTCGGAGGGGCCAGACATTTTCAAAGGTGTTGAATAGAGAAGAGGTCGGACAAATCAAGATCTTAGAAGTGCAAAAATGGAGCTTCTACTGGTGGAGATTCAAGTGTGCTTTGGAACTTAATGCCAGCCCCTATAAAAATCTGCACTCGACGGAGCTTCAGAAATCGAAGAGGCGCCTGCTAAAAAATCGAAGAGGCATTTGCTTTCTCAAAAGCTGGGCTGCTTAGAGACCACGAGGGTTGATCTCAGAAATCGAAGAGGCGTTTGCTTTCTCAAAAGCTGGGCTGCTCAGAGACCACGAGGGTTGATCTCAGAAATCGAAGAGGCGTTTGCTTTCTCAAAAGCTGGGCTGCTCAAAGACCACGAAGGCCGATCTCAGAAATCGAAGAGGCACTTGCGTTCTCAATAGCTGGGCTGCTCAGAGACCATAAGGGCCGATCTCAGAAATCGAAGAGGCACCTACTTTTCCAGCCTTGTCAGCACCTGTCCCACGCACACTCAGCTTTGCGGAAATTATGGGCATTCTGTCGAAGACTTCTGGTGAAGTAGAAAGCACATGAATCTCTGTTCAATCACCCACTTCTCACACGCAACAGTAGCTTATGGGTACCACAGATAACTTTGCCAAAGTTCTCTGCCAAAGTTAAGCACGTGAAGCTTGCAGCTCCCACTACATCGCTCTGACCAAGAAGGGTAAACGAATAGCAAAGAAACAGCACTAACAAAGTTTAAACACATAAATTTTGAAGGTCTAGCTACCATATTATTACCCACAAGGGTAAAGGAACAGTACCACTGCTGGATAATTGGAAAGTCCTTGTGTGTCAACCTCTGTGCTTCGTGGCAAGGTACACTAGCAAACATGCCCAACCTTTACTCACATTCGAGAAAACACTCCCAACAAGATTACAAGATTGCTTGCTCCAAAATCGAAGAGGCACCGTCCTCCGAATCTCGAGAACCAGGCTCCCAACATGACTACTTTCTAAAAAATCGAAGAGAGGGTAAAGGAACAGTACCATTGCTGGATAATTGGAAAGTCCCTGTGTGTCAACCTCTGTGCTTCGTGGCAAGGTAGACTAGCAAACATGCCCAACCTTTACTCATGTTCGAGAAAACACTCCCAACAAGATTGCTTGCTCCAAAATCGAAGAGGTACCGTCCTCCGAATCTCGAGAGCCAGACTCCCAACATGATTACTTTCTCAAAAATCGAAGAGACACCGCTCTCTGAATCTCGAGAGCCAGACCCCCAGCATGATTGCTTTCTCAAAAATCAAAGAGGCATCGTTCTCCGAATCTCAAGAGCCAGATCCCCGATAGGATTGCTTGTTCGAAAACCGAAGAGGCACCATTTTCCCAACTTCAAGAGCCGGGTCTCCTTGGATAAAGCTTGTCTGTAATCTTCACACGCAACATCAGTTTTCCAGATACCACAGACCACTTTTTCAAAGTGCTCTGACAGAGTTAAAACATGTGAAGCTGGCAGCTCCAACTACCGTGCTATGACCAAGCAGGGTAAAGGAATAGCATTACTACTTGTTGTTAGGGAGACTCCTATATATGTCGACCTTCATCCCCAACGGACAGGCAGACCTGCAAAAATGCTCAACCCTTACTCATATCTGAGAGGGCACTCCCAACGAAGCCTTTCGAAATATTCAGCTTTCTTTTCCCCCGATAATACCTCTGCAAACAAGCTATACTAGAGCAAGAATATCTCATATCATCAGGGTTAAAAGCAAGAGTATCCCATATCATGCTTTTTCCCTGTCTTTTCCTTTGGCCTTGTTCTTACCTGCAAGACAAGGAGAAAGAGAGCAATCAGTCAACACTTAGAATCAAGCTTCCAGCTAGGAACTGACTGCCTGGAACCCCTTACCTGATTACTTACCTGGCATTCATCTCGAGTACTCATCTTCAACATCTTATGCTCCCAGGGAAGATACCGCATCTGCCTGAGGAACATATAGGGCAAGTGAGAAGGATACAAGGAAGCATGTGGAGACAAGCGTAACAGCACACGTGCCGATACATCCATTACTCTATCAAAAGCAAAAGTATCCCATATCAGCAGGGTCGAACGTACTCTAGATTTGATGGACTTGTTTTGACCCTCAAATTCTTCAATCGGCCTTATACTCTGGAGGAAACCAGAAAACCCTCCAGCTCAGTTCAAGAATAAGCCTGTGGAAAGTTACTTCTTCAAAAGCAAAAGTA